GAGGTGAGGAGGAGAGGGGTCCCCTCCTCACCACCCGTGCGCCCGCCGGGTCGAGGATAGGCAAACCCGCAACGCGGCGGCGCGTGCTCTGAATCACCCGGTACATGGTGGTCATTGGTCAACAGACCCCTTCCTTTGTTTTACTTATACTGTACCGCATGCAGTCGTGCGGACCTGTTGCATACTCACACGGAGCCATAAGACCACCTGTATACCAGGTGGCTGATTAACCCCGCTCACTTCTGCAGTCATGCTGTACCGCACGCACGAGTGCGGGCGGGCTTGTCTATCGCCCCTGTCCACGGCGCCTTACGGGCCGAGCGGGTAGGCAATCCGCCCGCATTCGTGCGTGCGGTACAGCATAACTACAGCGGGAGCGGGGTTGGTCAGCCACCTGGTACGGCACCAATTTTACTGGTGGTAAACCGAACTTTCTGCAGTGCACATATTAATACAACAACACCAACATTGTTCAAATGCGGGTGATCATAGCGCGAACACTTCAGTCTCGTCGCTTCTTGTGGGTGTGCATACCGTCTTACACTGCAGTGACGCCTCACGGTCTGATAGAATAAGCAAGCTCACAACACTCTGCTACATCCTATGGTAGCTCGACACAACAACGGATGATAAACTTTCGATATAACATAGAAGGGCAACTTTATTTCGCTAACTATGGGTTCGTTCCGAAGTTATTCTTAATGGGTATTTTTTCATGAAAAACGCAAAAACTTTGAGGACTGCATCCAAGATCGAGATCGAAAGCCGTAAAAAACCGGAAGCTCTCCGATCAACCTTCTATAGAGGGCCGGGTGTCCAGCTCGCGGGGGCGCCTGTGGCTTTTGGCTTCTAACGACGGCGCGGCGGTCCGGCGGCTCGCCTCGCTGCTCCTTGTCAGTTCAGGACCGAGGTCCCTTTCCTCGTGCTGCGCAGGTCATCAAGATGCTGGTGGCCGTGGTGGTGGTGTTCGTCATCTGCTGGGCGCCCCTGCTGATCGAGCACGTGCTCACGTCCTACGGGGTCATCGCCAAGAACGAGGAGCGCACCGGCGACAAGGTGTGGCTCAAGTACATGAGCATCGGCTTCCACCTGCTGTCCTACTTCAACAGGTGAGGCGGGCGCGGCCGCGAGCAGGTATAGAACGGCGCGCGCTTTATCATATTGTGAATCACTCTGACGTCAACACTCGCCCCGGCAGCTGCGTGAACCCCATCGTGTACGGCTTCATGTCACGGAGCTTCCGGGAGAGCTTCCGCCAGGCTCTGTGCCGCTGCTGCCGCTCGGGGCGGCGGCCCGGGCGGCAGCCCTCCACGAACACGAGGACCACGTCGCTGCGCCTGAACGACACGAGGTGGGTAAGGGTGTGACTGGCAGATCAGACAGCCGCCGCGGGACCTCCACGGCGACGCTGGCTCGGAGCGGATCAGCATCACCACGATTAAGACAAGAAAATTATCCACATAGATTTCACTTTAAAATACTACCAAATTCTTCCCCGGGCAATTGTTCGAATTTCTTGCACATATATGCTCCCCAACACTCAGAGAAAAGCAAGACAATTTATCATAAACCAAATGAATATTATGAATAATATGAAAAATAAAGACGCCTGATACCCATGGATTTTCTCACGATAGTTTTAAAATGCATCCAATACGACAATTTAGTATATGCACACAGTGCAGTTGGTGCAATATCGGTGCTCAGACCGGACCGCATTGCGGGCGCTGTTAGTTCTGATCTCTTCTTCTTTTACAGGCAAAGAACTAAAGCCGAGAGGCGTAGAAAAGTGTTTATTTTCATTTGCTAAGCCCCCGCCATGGTTTGGAAAGCCCTGGCAAGCCAAGTATCCCGTGATGGGAAGTTAAAAGTACGTACGTAAATCTGCACTATCGGTTGACATTGGGCTGTTTTCTTTTTCTTTTTATTTTCAAACATGGTGCTACTCGCTTTCCTTTCTTCTCCCCTTTACTTAGAGGGAGGAGACTTGTTACTTGCGCATCTATTATTTTAATTTTCCTATTTTGAGAATTTTTATTTTCTTGAGATTTCCGGGTATCAGGTGTGGTGCTGATTTCTTTCTCACTGGATTGCTCTAAAAAGATCTGCTCGGAGGGCTTCTTTGTAGCATGCATATATTTTTCAGTTTTTCAGTTTGGTAGCGTTCTCATTTTAGGTGTTTAACTGACAAACATTTACAACTGTGCAACAAAACTGTTGCTGTGATAAGTGTTTACCAGTGGAGTACTTGCATTGGCATTGAGAGCAAGCGAAAGTGTCATTGTAAATATCCCCGTAAAGTAGTAGAACCCGTCCCGTCCGTCCGGCCGACCCAGCTAAGCGCACGCCTTTGGTTTTGCCGCCATTCCCCCACTCCTCACAAAGATCACGTCCGGAAAAGACCGACCACTGCGAACGCAGCCACCGGGTTGCGCGCGCTTCACTCCGCCAACTAGCGCCATCTGTCGGGTTTCCCTCTGAACTACGCGTCCCCCTTGCCACGTCCGAAGTCGAGCATCAATGACCATATCCCCTCAACGTCGGGGATATAGCTCAGTGGTAGAGCATTCGACTGCAGATCGAGAGGTCCCCGGTTCAAACCCGGGTGTCCCCTTCGGCACACTTTTTTTCTATCTTTCCGAACTTGAAAGTAGTGTTCCGATTAATATGGGCAAAATAACAGATTCCATTTTAATTTGTTTGTTTCAGCAAACGTGTTTAATGTAGGGGCACTAAATTTTTGAAAACTTTTGATTGATCGCGAAAAAAAGTATGTTTAAGGTTGCAGATGCACGTAAACCATGGTATGTTTGCTTTCCTTTCTCGTTTCCCGGCTTCCCTCAAATTGACTGTACCGTGTTAGTACCCTTTAAAGAATCAGAAAAAGAAACCGACGAGGATGAGATTCGAACTCACGCGGGCAGAGCCCATTGGATTAGCAGTCCAACGCCTTAACCACTCGGCCACCTCGTCTCTTGTCGACGCCGGCCGACTGCTCGCGAACTGCCTCTGGACGGAGTCTCCCGAAGCCGGCCGGGCCGACCCGCCCGGCTGGCGTGCCATGTTGCCACTCCGTACTCCGTGCCCGAGCAACAGCAGCACACACAGTCGGTACCTACGCCTGCCTACGCCACGCGCCACACACTTTTAAACCAAAGCGGTTAGCCGGGCAGGCGGAAGGATGCCTGTCTTCAGCGAGCGACTATTCTAGGTCTTTCTTTACATACGTATTTTCGGAGTCAAACTCACACAAATAAACCTAAACAGCCCTATTTCCCACACACCGCGCAATCCCTCCGGAAACATGCACTGGCTTAATGTCCGTGGCGCAATTGGCTAGCGCGTCCGGCTGTTAACCGGAAGGGTTGTGGTTCGTGCCCCCCGGGGGCGTACTTCTTGTCATTTTTAGCCATGAAAATTGACCGTTTTGACTTGGTTCTAATGCACCTATCGTATCCCCAGCATGTACGGTCCTTCCCCATCTTTGATATTTGTAGTGCCTAAGACTTTCAATAATGCCCCGTTTCGCCCGCGTGTGTTGCAGCTGCAGTGTCGCGGGGAGGTCGGTGTCCGGAGTGTCGGGTTACTGATGGCGGCCCGACTGGGCTGCTCCAGAGCGCCACTCGGTGCTCTGGAGGAGTCCAGCCGAGTCCCAGACCGCCTCCATGTACATGGCCGCCAGCCGCCACTGCCCCTTCGGCGTCGGCTCCGGGCCCCTTAAGGCCCCCTTCGACTCCCACAACAACCTGCATCGTGAGAGCTACCGACTGATCCAGGTGCAAGCGTCCGCAGGCTCCACGGGGGCCCAGGAGCAAGGCCCCCAGAGGCCGCTCACCACCCCCATCACCACGCGGCCAGACAGTCCGAGCTCCATTGGTGGACCGACTCAGCTCTGAGCACTTCGTCACGCCCCAGAAAGTGGCCGATAATTGCCACAGTGCGATATCGAGAAAACGCGAGTCTAACTTTGAAGATACGTTAATGAAAACCAAAGACCATCCATGTATAAAGGGTATAAAGTGGTGTAACTTACGAGTTCACACAACTTCTCTAGTGTAATCTTTGTGATCTTACTACTAGTTTATCATTCCTCAAATGTATGTTGTAAATAGTATAAGCAATCTTATATGGAAGTTTCACAATTTCTTCTGCAGTATAAAATCCTCTGCACTTAAGAATAAAGATTTGATATTGATAGACAACAAAGTCTAATTACCCAACAGTAGTTGCTCTAAAATGTCAGTGTAAAAATGAATGTGCCATTATAAATTTTTGTTCAATGTTGTATCAGGTGACAATGTTAAATTTGTTGGAAAAAGGAATATGCATTGTAACCAGGAAATAAAATAAAACAGTGTTTGGAAACGAATTAGGTATATTCCCGTACAGTAAAATAATAAGTTTAAAGTCGAGTGTCCACCAGCATCGTTTACTGCAAAGAAACAAAAAGTTCAGATTAAAGAAAAGCCATATGAAGCAAAGATTTAAGACACATGCCAATACAGGATAAAGCTTAGATGCATTGTTATAGCTTAAATTATGGATGGGATCATTCAACAACAAACAAATAGGTGAGTGTTAACTCAGATGGAAATCATTGTCCCAAAAATTCCTAAAGAATCAACATATTGAAAGCATTCTGTGGGTGCACATATTACTGGGATTAGAATTCACTTGTCTAAGTTCATGTAAATGTTGAGAATCAAAGTCACTGAAACCAACACTTACAGATTATGGGGGACTGTTGCAAAAAATTGTTGTGAGCAGAAAAATGAGGAACAGGCAAAAAATTCCAATAAAAGCAGGAAATCGGTTAAGTGGGTTTCACTGTAAGTCAAATAATCACTATTTCAAAAAACAGAAAGCATCTTTTAACATGAAGTTGACCTCTGAAGTCACGTTCGCGAATGGCAATGAAATTTTATCTATAAAATTGACAATACCATCAAATCTGATGTCAAAGTCTTACTTCATCAACAGTATATAGCTAAATGACAACTTCTAAGAGTTAGTACTGTGAGATTACAAACAAGTTGAACACAAAGTTAATTGAAAGATTAGTTTGCAAAAAAACTGTCACACTAAATAAGGAACCATACTGTGGAATACCACAGCCATACCCAAAGCACCTCCCACCACCCACCTTATGACCCTACAAGAAAAATAATGGGGTGGGTGTTACATCCCAAGGATTTGAAAGTTCTAGTAAGGTGAGAAATGGACCAAATAACAGATCACAATAGCAATGACCATGGACTCGAAATCAAACACCCATAACTATGGGTGAAACGTCTTTGAATATTTTTAAAACTATTTGAGTACCATGAATAAACCAACACTTCTGATGCTGACCAAAATTGACACCATAATTGAAAATGTAGAATATTCAAAGTTGTACAGTGGGAATGAAAGCTCACCTTCTTTGCCGCCGCTCCAACCTTTGATTTCTTGGTACCTCGAACCTTCTTCATACGGTTCTTTCGCTCCTTACGCTGTTTTCTGGTCTGCTGTTTCTTCTCATAGAGACCATGCTAAGGAAGGTAAAGAGAAAATAGAGAAATCCATTGTAACAAAAATACAAATAAAACTGTAAATAACATTAAGAAGAAAAACATACCCTGGCTAGCCTGTGCTTGGGTTCAAACTTCTTGGCGAAGTCCAAGGTGTCGTAAATTAGTGCAAAGCCAGTAGATTTGCCACCACCGAAGTTAGTTCTAAAGCCGAAGCAAAATACAACATCAGGAGTAACTTTGAACATCTTAGCAAGTTTTTCTCTAATATCGGCCTTTTTCACTGAGGCCTGACCAGGGTGGAGAACATCTACGACCTGAAAAACAAGATTGCAATGAGTTCAAAATATCCCATTGAACTGCTTGATCCTATGAGTTAATGAAGAGAACTTACCATTTGTTTCCGGGCAAGAAGCCGGTTGGTCATGAATTTCCTCGTACGGACAGTGGCTGTACCCTCAGTCTGACAAAAAAGAGAAAGGAAGTAAAGCAATAGGGCAAATTATCCAGGATCTCGATAAAAACGCATCACAACCAACAAGGAAGCACGATTCGGGGGATATGGCAAAGCAGAAAAAAGTATTAAAATAGATGTTGAAGAACTAGGAATGCGTGGATAATAAATTGGCTCTCAAAGAGTTAATGATCAGTAAAGGATCCCGCGCCGGTACATACACCTAACCTATAGACTAAGGTTAGGTGTACATAAACACTGTTACCTAGACCCTAATGACCAAAATTCCACGCGAAACCGTCGTAGAAAAGGTTTGATGGGATATTTACAGATAAATACAGGTAACGACCGACAAATAAAGGAATGCACGCAACTAATACTGCCATGAACACTCAAAATAAGAGCGTAGAAACTTATCAGATCAGGAACTACGTCCAGTATAACAAGATAGTTCATTCCGTGATGAGGAAAAAAGATTTCAATAATGGGGAATCGACAGTTTGAAGTTCAAGCAATAAAATACAGCCTCAACAGCGAACAGACTGACACACATGCAGCCACAGTTGCACGTCACTTCACAACAGAATATCTGTCGATATTTGGAATATTAAAGACCAATAAATACATAAATTCAACAACTTGGCCCGCAGGAAATCGTACTTCCCCTTAAAATAAGTTAACAAGTAAGGATGGATAGGTAAAATCTTGATAAAATAGAACAAGCATTACCATTTTGATGTGTAAATCAACACGACTCGTGCAGGAAGGAACACTCGCTTCGGACCCTACAGCCTTGCACAAAACCGGAAAGTAAAAGAACCTGGCTCATCTCATCGCCTGCTCGAAACCTTGTTTTCCGTTTCATACCAACCACCAACTGTTGACAAAATATCTAAGCTAGTCCGCTTTTCCAAGTTCTAAGTAGAATATTCAAATACATTTACGTCTGATAATTTTATTTTTCGAAAATTCTTACTGCGTTTTGTTTTAAGTACATCAACAAATTTATAGTTTTATTGTTGAATAGTTGGTATTTTTGCATGTACCATTTCCTCTTTTTCTTTGGGGGAAATTTCAAACAGGGAGTTGCAAACTTCACAATTTTACAAAACCAAAATACTTTTAAAAAATCACTGTTGAAGAAGAAAACGAGAGTTCATTTAAAATTTTTACTTTCTAAGCTTTGTCTATGCTGTTACTTCTTTACAACAACTATAACAGTGTCACGGGATGGGACATCAGACTATGACTGATACTGAACGCTGACCGACGCCAGTTGCCGTCGGCTGCAGTGGGGTGGAGCCGAAAATGACAGTAAACATAAACATACGAACAACTCATTGATTTGCCACAGTCATTTAGAAATGATTGTTCTTCGAAAAATTATTTTTACACGGGCTAAGTGGTCGTCGAATGGGCGAAGTATTCAGAATCTCCGAACTTTCAAACTTCAGATTGTTTGGTAGTGTAAGAACCGTTGTAGGTTAGATATACATTGCTGGCTAAGTCATCGTGAAGTAAACATTCCAAGCAAGCCGTTCGATATCTTGCATCTCTGTGATACTGTGGAACTCACTTTTACTCAATTTGATGGCGTTGAGGTACAAAACTTGGTAAGACTATTGTCATGTAACCCCTCATGTCATTCTTACAATTTGGTTTAATTCTACCTGTCATGTTTACTCTGTTTGCAGGAAATGGAGGCGAACAGCAACGATAATTTCAATTTTTTTACTAGTTTTTGGCATAGAATTTTTATCACATTTCTTTCAAGCTTGGACTTGGGAAAGGCTGTCGTGCCCATCAGGCTCAAGTTGCAAACGCCTCCTCTTTGTCGCTGATCCTCAAATACTAGGAGAGCATGATGAGCCCAACTGGATTACAATTTGGGATAATGATCGGTAAATCCATAAAATTCAGATTCATAGACATGTTTGGCTTATTTTTAGTCCATATTAACTGTACTACTACCAACTTTAATCAATAATTATATATTTTCTAGTTACCTTCGTCGCACCTTTTCACTTGCAACATCACACGTTCAACCTGATGCAGTTGTTTATCTGGGAGACTTAATGGATGAAGGAAATCGAGCTGATGACTTTGAGTTTGAAAGATATGTCAAGCGCTTCTTTAATATATTCCCCCTCAATCCCAAAATTGAAGTAATTTTAGTTTTTATTGTTGGAATTATTGTAATTATAATGTACTGTGTCGTGGTGTCTTTTAAGAAATTGGTACTTTTTCCTAGACTTTATTCCTACCAGGGGATAATGATATTGGTGGTGAAAATGGGGATCCCATTCTACCTTCTATTGTGCAAAGATTTCGCCAAATTTTTCATAAGAAGACAGAATTAGTAGTTGGTTTATGTCATATTATTAAGGTAGTATTGAATCATTTAACATTGTAATTTTATGATAATGGTACCAAATTATATCCATTTTTTCTTTCTCTTTTTTAGATTAATCCAGTTTTGGAATCTATTTCTCAGCTTAGCTCAAACCAATTATCTTCTGATAAGTCAATTAGAATTGCAGTTAGTCACTTTCCGTTAATGGGTATGAGCACCCCATTTACTGAAAAGGTATCTACGTGGTCTTCTGATACTTGCAGTACAAATAAGTTCAACTTATTTTAATATATGTCCTTTCACAGCAAAGTATAATTTTTAATTTCCTTTCCTAGATACTGAGGAACTTTCAGCCGCATTTGATTTTCTCTGCTCACTCACATCTATCTCGTCTTCGGGGACCATCAATGAAGTCCCCATCAGCATTGTTAGGTAGGCTAGGACCAGTACAATTTGACTGTCTAAATAGAACTAAAGAACACGATCATGATGGTGGATGGAAAAGTATTGCCGATGTCCATGAAATAGAAGTACCCACATGCTCTTATCGAATGGGAGTTGCTGACATGGGGTTTGGTTTTGCCCTTATTGGTAAGTAAAGTTGTGCTTGATTTTAATTAATGTATGACTCAAGGGTTCATTTTCTTGTATTTCAAACTTCTCAGATGAAACAAGGCGTGAGTTCCAATATGTGGTTTTGTGGCTACCGTCTAGGCTGAAACACCTCAAGTTGTACATGGTTGCTGGAATAGTTTTCATGCTTTTTACTTTGTGGTGGTGTCTTTGTGGCTATGGAAAATCTCATAAGTACAATTCTATCAACCATCAGAGCTGAATTGATATTTTCAAAAACTTGTATCACTGCTCTCTAGAAGATTCCGGTTTGAGTGTGAGTTGTGTGCCATTTCTCAATTCTGATATGTTTGCCTTTTACTTATAGAACCATGTGGTATTCAAATTGATGTGTAGTATTTAATTCATTATAGTCAAAGACTGTATGTTATCTTGAGATATGTTATAGAAAACCAAGTTGCCATTCTTACTCATATCTGGATTTTGTCCAACACCTTCTTAAAAGTATACATACATATCTTCATTTAAGTTTGACCTGACTCTCTCAGAAAGATAATGGTCTCAAAATGAGTCCCCATTTAGATTAAGTGATTGACTGAGCTATTGATTTTGATGGATCGAGATGGAAGTAATTTCTTTGTGTAGTATAAAACATGCTGATATTTACTATAAGTTGTGATTTGTTGATATTCCGTCCTATTTTGCTGTTTAGTGATGAAAATAAGTAGACTACTAAAAGACAAATTTTTTGTACTGTATTTTATGTACTTACATTATGACCTTCAATGTTTCATCAAGTCCTACGTTTCTTATCTTTGCATTACTTCTCATGATAATTTGATACTTAATCTGTTTTTTCTTTCTTTTACAAGAATAAAATATTCTTATACTTCTATCACTCTAGGTTTTGATGGGACCTGTGTACCTAGCCACTAGCACACCTGAATTTTTACTAAATTTGTTACCTTTCTCTTCTGAGGTTGTAAGTTGTATCAGTTCTAAAACATTGCAGAGGTTTTTTAAATTACAAATTCAGTTGCAATATTTTTAAAAAGACAATTTTAGTCCCTTACAATATGTTGCAATTTTTAAGAAGTTGGTCATAGATAATGTATTTATATTTTGCCAAACCAACATAGTTAAGGATCTATTTTACAAATGATTGACCATTAATTTGTTAATGTTTTCAAATTTTGTGTATTTGTAACATATTGCGTGTTTTTATTAAGTTATTGTGTAACATTTAATTTTTAGTTTCTTACATTTTTCATCTGCACGTGTGTTACTTGTTATTTATTTCATGTGTGAGGACATATATTTATCCAAGAGCCCATATGTGTAATGTGTGATGTTTTTTTACATTTTCTCCTCCATCAACCCACATAGCATTACAACTCTTGCATATCTATGAATCTCTCGTAAATATCAAATTCGTGATGAAAAACTGCTATTTTGATCATAAAGATATTTATCATTATGGAGCTGCATACAAATGGCGAGGGCTTTGTAGAGGTATTAATACCCTTCGTTGTCGCTTTAATTGTCAGCGCTGTTTAGCCTACTTCTGGTTGATGTCCTATCATGTGCGGACGAGATGAGTGCGTCTAGTCGGTTCAGTTTAAGCAGACTCGGGCCCTGTCTGTAGTAGCTACAATCGTGTAGTTACAAACAGGGAGGTGGGAAACAAGGGATCGGCTGCGCAGTGCCCCTTTTGCTCTTCCGTTTCACTTTCTGAAGGCCCAGCTCTTGAAATACCATAGAGTCTTTGGCAGGCACAACGAAACCTATTTTGACGTTGACGCGCGCCCCAGTGTACAAAACAGCCCTGCCCCGCCGAACCCGCCGAACGGACTTATTTTGGCGAACGGCCCTACAAGCAAGCAGCTTTGCTCTTTTTCGTTTTCCTTCATTAAAACAAAAAGGAAGAGCTCTAGCGACCATCGTACGGTTAATTCAGGGAGCACCGTAAAATATGGTCGATAATACCTTATCGCATGATTGTGAGAACCAAAAATATGGTTTCCATCACGTTATCATTATTGTTGTTTCAATCGTATTTTATGGTGCTTGCTGCGGCCGATCATAAGACGTTTTTGATGCGTGTTAGTCGCATTCCTGATGGAAAAGATTATTATCAGGACATCATGAGAGTTAGTGATAGTTTTGGCGGTGACACACTTAGGGCGCCTGTGAAGCGGCCGGGGTAGGCCACCGTCTCCACACAGCTGCTCGGCGGGTTAGCCTACCGAGCGTGTCTCTGGCGCTGTCGTGAGCATCGTGCATTGATAATCAGTGATAGTTTTGGTGGTAACACACTTGGGGCGCCTGAGAAGCGGCCGGGGTAGGCCACCGTCTCCACACAGCTGCTCGGCGGGTCAGCCTACCGTAAGACTTTTGATGTGTGTTAGTCGCGATCCTGATAGAAAAGATCATTCTCAGTGTCAGCATAGAGGATGGTGGGTCAGTTGTTTAAGGTCTCTTAGTTACTTCTATGCATTAGGTGAGCTAGTAAAGACTTAGGTTGATAAATTTAGAGGTGAACCCTACCGGCTCTCAACAATTAAGTAGAACAAGATAAGTGTAAGAACTTTAGATAGTTTTATACAAGTTACAATGGTGGTTCAGGTTTGACAAAAGGTGTTACACTTGGCTCTCTCTTACCCTCTCGTGATGTGTGAGTTCTTCCCCGTCCAGAGACCGCCCTGCCACCACGGCCGACCGAACCGCATCTAACTCGAGCGCACCCGCGCTCGGGTTTTTAAAGACGCCTCCGCTCGGGGGCGGGGGCGTACACGCGGCGCGGGCCGAGCGAGCCAGAGGGGGGATCTACAATGGGGCCGCGCGCTCCAGATTTGCGTTTGTTGACGGATTCGCCCGCGCGGTTGTATTGTAACACTTTTGCAAGTGTCACAATCCAACATCAGGACATCATGAGAATCAGTGATAGTTTTGGCGGTGACACACTCTGGGCGCCTGTGAAGCGGCCGGGGTAGGCCACCGTCTCCACACAGCTGCTCGGCGGGTCAGCCTACCGAGCGTGTCGCAGGCGCTGTCGTGCATCGCCGCGAAAACAGAGAGAGACACGAGGTAGCGGGTCAATTGAGGTGCACCTTACAAATGAGACAACTGTCACGGCTATGGATGGAAGAGATAGGAGGGTCACAGAAATGGTAAACAATCATCATACTCCGGTATTCAACGAGTTTTCCCAGAGTGACCCTAGCAAAGCAAGCTTCCCGAATATAGCGCTAAGTATGCAAGGCAGGGTTTCTTTAGCTACACCCTCCTCGCGGGAAAAAATCAACATAGGCTACATGCATGGAACTGTCAAGGGAACTACCACATTTGAAGTGATATCATGAGAATCACGGGAATAAATACCAGACAGCCAGAAGTCAAGGGAGTTGTCGCTCGGTTGTCGCACCACACCCACCCGTGTAATAACATGAAGAAGGTAGTTGAGATTTATTTCCAAGTAACTCTTGACGCAAAAGACTACTCGGCATCTACTGCCCAACACCAGAGGCTTTCTTTTGAAGTGGCCGTTCGAGTATTTTTGTTGGAGGGGTTATAAGGGGTTCTTTTATGAATCAATCAAAGGATTTTACTGACGCAAGAGCGCATGAGTAGCAAGGACGCGTGCACCAAGGTATCGAAGTTTAAAAATTTCTTTCAAACGATTACCATCTGTTAGCTTCAACATGCCAACTGTTGTACAGATAACTACAACCTACTTAAGAACGGGGAAATTTTACTGCTGAATCACCCTGTAGCCTTAAGTGAGTCTCAATGGTTTCACCGAGGACGCCTTAGAGAGAAGCCGTGGCCTACCTCGCAGGCGTCCAAGCGACAACTCGTGTCGCGGCGACAAGTGGTAATAGACACGTCCCTGTTTATGGCCACAAATGGGGCAACATACGATGTCCGACGCCACCCCCCGCCACACGCCACCTTTTGTAGCTAAACGGTTGTAGCTAAAGTTGACATGACCGCATGCAGCTTCATCCGCTTCTTCAGTAAAACAGTCGGTCAAGTCCACCTCCTCATCGCGCTGAGGCCCGGGTCGGATAACACGAAAAATGGGCAATCAACGGCCTGATTCGAGCGGGACTGCCCATTTTCCGAGTTATCCGACCCGGGCCTCAGCGCAATGGAGGAGGTGGACATGACCGCCTGCTTGACACGGAAGACCAAGCCCGTTGAGTGGGACCGGGTTCTGACCTGACAAACGACAGACGGAGCCGACGGTCGAGTGGCGAGGGTGCCGGGCATTGGTCCACGACACCGTCAGGCGAGGGATCGATTCCTGTTCGAAGCGAGATTTTTTGAGGGGCCTGCTGAGTAGGTGGTCGGTTAAGCGCACCTCCTCACCTCGCCCAAAAGCGAAAGCGAAACATTGTCCTATAGTAATCGAACCAGCGTCTATCTGTATGAGGATCACGCGCTCTACCAACCGAGCCAACGAGGCTGTTGAATAGGTGATGTTTTTTTATCGCTGAGGCTCACACCCGGAAACACATGGCCGACAGAGTATCAAAAGGGTTTCGTCGACTAGGGGCTGTCAAGTCAAGCGCGCCCGAC